CGTCGAACCCAGACCAACATTTAACTGTACATATACAAACACGTATTGGTTGAATATATCTATTTTGAACGAGGGAATGTCGTACCCAGACCAACACATANTGATATTAGTTCGTAAAGTTTTTTTCATAATTGTTGTAAAATACAATGAATTCTGTCATATATAAGGTTAACATTTATAGGAAAGAGCTAACAACTTTTTGCATTTTGTAAAAATCTGTTGATCACTAGATTTACGATCCAGCACTAATCAAGAAACATCCTTTAAGTATAACCTACTCAATATTTTACAGGTAAATGCTTATTAAGTTGGAATAATAAAGAGGATGAGTTATTTAAAGCAATGATATCAACGTTACTCACCAACACGACTCGGCAGGTTTCTCATAATGAATGAGGCTTCCTTGTCTGTTTGAATCTCAACCAATTTTGCCCCCTTGGCAGTACAGCGCGACTGGAAGAAGAATAAATAAAGCATTGATATTGACATCAAACTTTTAAACAAAAGCGATGTTCAAAAATGAGGATAAAACAGCGGTGCAACGACTTGTGTCAGGCACTGGCCAGGTGAAACTCTGGTCGATCATCAAAATAGTATTTACCTGTTCTGTTACCTAGGAGCCAAACCCATTCTGGGCAGTCGTTAAGTCATGTATACTTGAACATAACCCTAATAAAAATGATGAGAAAATTATGTATTCATTGTTCCTTCTTCCACACGAGGGTTCCGGATGATTTTTCATTCCGTGATAATGATAACCAATTGTTCCAAATCGCACATTTCTGCGGAAAGAAACGCACAACGGGGTGAACGATTGTTAAATCGTATAGTTGTGCGCACCATGCATGGACGATGTGCGGACGCCGTGTGCCCGATGTACGCTATTTTTGGTACGTATTGCGGTCACACAACTGTAGAGTTTATACTTGTATTTTCATTGCATATACGGGACTGTATACAGAGCCTCGTTAAATATCTTAGTAAAATAAATAAAATATTTGAAATGCTTAGACAAATCAAAATTGTTTTTGTGTTTCAATTGTTCTTTAACGTCAAAATTAAAAGACATATTATGTCGTATGTTTCTTCAGACTTCATATTTTTCTATTCGTAATCATCATTTTGGGACAATACATGTTGGATTCACGAATTTCGGTGTCAAGCTTAATAAACACGAATATTTCTATGGACTTATCATGAACGTGAAGCCCGGTCAGCACGCGAACATGGTATAACAGAAACGTTGCTCACGGTAGAGAACGTGTTTTATGTCGCCGAATATAATCCCGATCTGTTTCTATCGAACAAAAAAGTCTTTTGGTGGGAATGATTTCAGTAAATCAACAAAACTTTTTTTTGTTCCTGTCATAGTATAGAAATTTAATGCAATGTTGTTTTGATTATGCTCATTACAGTGATTTTGATAAAGAATTTCTCAACATCATTTTTTAATACTTGTTAATCTCCCTAGAGACGAGAATAAGACATGAGATCGAAATTAATAGTCAACTTGATTTGATTAAGCAGGAGACGCTTACCCTTTTGGAACACCTGGTCTTATTATAGTTGTACTTTTTCAAGAGTCCCCATGGATAAATGTTTTACCGTAGTTTCATCTATTACTATGTCATATTTAACTTTTGAAAGAAATAGGCATTGTTAAAATAAATAGTAATAATACTCACGATAGCCATACTCCAATTGGTTTGCTCGGACGTTGTGGACACATAGTAACACTTTTCCGAAGAAGAGAACCAGCCTTGGTCACAGTCACGTGGGCCGGGCGTAGTCGTAGTAGTAGATGCTGAAAACACAATGTTTACTTGAATAATATTAAGTACGAAAGAAAGTATGTTTTGTTTTAGGCTAAATGGAAGTTAAACAATGCCTTTGTTTATCGACAAACACATTCACTGAATAAAATATGGTTAATACTTTTCTTCAATACTCCAGTATTCTTACCATTTGTTGTCAATTGATTGAGACATATCATGTAATATCTTGTATCAGTACTCTTGGCGGATGGGAGATAGGAGGATTTGGCAAGTCGATTTTACTACAACATTTCATGCAGACGTGGTTTATTATAAAGTCGTCGTAACAAAATGTATTTTCAGAGAAAGGGTTTTGCTGCATTATAACTCCAAAAACTCAGATGGTGTATAAAAAGGTCTGCGTTGGATATTGTAGTGTCATTGGTGTAGCATATCAACAGGTGGAGAATATGAAAAATATTCGGTGGAAAGCAGAGAATAACAAAACAAAACAAAAAACATCCCAGGCACACGTATGCCTACACACACGTGGAGACATTAGCAAGGTGGCATAAGATTAATGGTTAGCACTTTATAAGGAGGCAAATAGCTCTAAAGATATTTCGATTAATATAAAAGATTATATTAGAGTAATTGTAATTGTATATATCATCCCAATTCATAGGCTCATATGCGTTTTGATTTTATTAATATCAATGAAATATGAATAGCGAGAAAAACTGATAGTAAACTATCAGCCCCTTAGTTTCCATAAAGCTGCTTACCTATTGTACCTCTATTAGCTAATCTCCCCGAAGTTTGGAATTTTTATAATCAGACTTTAAAGATAATGCAAGTTAGATAAATTTTAAATTCATTTACTTTCTTTATGAATTAAAGATTCTTGAGATGGGGCCAGCTCTATTAACAAAGATGAAATTTTGGATGTACGAACTCGATTGGGAAGCAATTGATGTCATATATATGGACTTTATGAAAGCGTTTACTAAGGTACACCACGGTCAACTTATACACGAGTTATATACATATGGAATCGGTCATAAAACAATGAAGTGGATTGAAGACCTCCTGAATTATAAAAATAGAAATATATTGGTAAATGGAATATCGAACTATCCAGACGTCCTCAGTGTAGTTTCTAAAGGAAGTGTATTGGAATCCTCCTGTCCACTTTTGCAGATGACACAAACTTTACCGGAAGATCTGTAACCAGGAGGATGTAAAAATTCTACAATCAGATTTAGATCAACTTTCAAAATGGTCAAACTTTAACGAGAATAAATGTAAAGTACCCCATATCAAAGGATCAATCCTAGATGACAGAGGCTATCATCGCATTGGCCAGAATGGCGGGAAAACTTCACCAGATAGCATCACCAGTGAACAACGTTGAGATGTAACTGCAGGGGGATATGCTATACTTCAGAACACTTATGCGCAGAAAGTTCTATCAATAAAACTAATTCGGTCCTTGGCATCATAAGAAGATCCGTCAGATAAATATTATATAGGTGTATATATGTTTGAAAATTGTGTAGGGCATTCGTAAGACCATATTCGGAATATGCGGCAGGCGCAACGAATCCGTACAAATTAAAAGACATGCAACCAATTAATAATGTTCAGTGGAGAGCCACCAAACTTAAACCAGGATTTAAAGAATTATCTTTGGAGAACGCCTTAGAGTTCTGAAATTACCAACATTGAATACCAGGATAAGAGGAGACTAAATAAGAGTTTTCTAATTAACTAACCATTTATTTGATGAAAGGGTCACTTCCAATCTTCTTAACCTATGATATAATTGGAAGACAAAAACCGTTGCAAAGCGGAGTTAAGGAGAAACTAATTCACATTTAGAGTATTAGATGTGTGGAACAATCTACGTGTACATGTTGTTATTGCTCAAACAATTAGGGAATTCGAAATTGCAAATCATGAATATTTTAATCGATGATACGTGAAATACAATAAGGCTACATTTTTGCATATTTAGAATGCTGTTTTGACATCCTAAACAACCTTTGTTAAACAATTGTTGGTATGGACCCAGACGCTTTTAGCCTCCGTCTAATATTATTCCATTAAATTCCATAAAAAAATACAATGACATCTGCAAACCATAACAATTGTTAATAAAACACTAAGGCATGCGTGTATTTAAACAAGTTTAAAAGTCGTGTAAACAACTTTTATAGATAATTAAATCATGCTGTGTAAGCAAGGAAAGGTGAAGTGTTGGATTTCCTTTCCCCAGATTCAAACGATAAGGCAAGTTGGATTGTGTCTGTCACATGCCATTGCCACGTTTGTATATAATGTACATAACACACTCTGTATGTGCAATGTTTGGTTGTTAAGGATCCCCGTACTTTTGTCAAAAACTGTAATTATACATTAAAAACCTTTTGACGTGAAGCATGACTAGCTTTGATTAATATTTTCTGAAATGAAACCCATACATTGCCAACCTTTTAACGGATAGAACACGGACACAAACACCAGCAACAGAGTTTGTGGTATTGTACCAGGACCAAGCTAAGATTATAAACCTTGACCTCTGAACTCGTAACGGTGGCTGTAACCGTATGTCCTACATTATGACCGGTAGGCATATGGCTCAGCTCGCCTTCAGTCCTACCACAAGTGCAATTAGGTGGAGACAAGAGCAGATACGTAAACTATAGTGAATCTAGTTTGTAGCGTTTTGCCTACCGTGGGAAAGGTCGATTCCATCGTGACAATATGGGGGTAATATGGCCGGAATTAGCATCAAAGGAAAACAACTATATAATATATACGAAAGGTTATGATTATATAGAGGGCTCAGATGCATGAGACTAATACATCTCCTTCGGTCTTTTTGCTTTTTATTGTCGATTTTTATTGTTGATTTTCGAAATGTTATATGTCTGATTATTGACGTACTATCACTAGCTTCAATATGGTGTAATTTTTATTTTCAAAGTTAGACATATTGATTTTATTAAAGGATCATTTAATTTGCAACAGAGAATATCTTAACCCTGTTAGATTGTGATACGACAAATATAACTTTACAGCATTCCCGTTTTGATTGCGACGTCAAAATCTATACTCAATATTTCACTTTCTATGTCTATTCATCAATCGTTTCTATTGGTTAAAAAGAAGCCGTACTTATTTCAATGTCGAAAAAAGTCAGTCAATTTCAGTTGAGATCGGAACGTCAAAAAATCAACTCAGTTACACAATATACCAGCAAATAACATACACTGGTTAAATTTGACGTCACAATACCCATTCTGATGAGAGAACTAAACAAATGGTATCGGTTTCGAAGCTCTGCATCAGTTGTATTGCTTTCTGAAGCCAGTGCTACTTTAATTCTTTTTCAGCCCTGCACTACAGCTATCGCTTTCCCAGACCTACAGAACTATTATCGCTTTCCCAGCCCTACACTACCGTTAACACTTTCCCAGACCTACAGTACTATTATCGCTTTCCCGACCCGACACTACTGTTATCGCTTTCCCAGCCTCACACTACTGTTTTAACTTTCCCAGACCTACACTACTGTTATCGCTTTTCCAGACCTACACTACTGTTATCGCGTTCCCAGACCTACACTACCGTAATCGCTTTCACGACCCGACACCTATGTTATCGCTTTCCCAGCGCCACACTACTGTTTTTACTTTCCCATTCCTACGCTTCAGTTATCGCTCTCCCAGGCCTACACTACTGGTATCTCTTTTCCAACCCTACACTACTATCTCTTTCCCAACCCCACCCTACTTTTATCGTTTACTCAATCCTACACTATTGTTATTGATTCCGAGACCGATAGTTCTCGCTTTCCTTTGCTTTCCCAACCCTTCACTACCACCATTGCCTCCGAGGCTTTTAATACCGTTATTGTTTTCCCAGCCCTACACCACTGTTACAATGTATCTCTTTCCTAGCCCTACACTACATTTATTACTTTCCCATCCCCACACTACAGTTACGTCTTTGCAAGACCTAAACAGGTGGCGTTGCCCAAACCCTACACTTCTTTTACTTTTTCAGTGACCTTTACGACTGGTATCAATTTCTCAGATATATCTTCACTTTTGTTATCGAAAGCCGTGTGCATAACTTGTGGATAGGGATGGGGTGGGGAAGGGGCAAATCTAAAATTAAACATCTGATACAAGTGCGAGGTTTCTGTACTAGATGTCCTACTACGAATAATAGTTCTTCTATATTTTAAGTTAATATTCATATGAACACAGTTGATATATGTATATATATACAATATTGTGAAGTATTTAACTCACCCCCTTCATTGCTGTTTCCTCCACCGAGCAACTCACGTAGCTGTGCCTGCTCCTTTTGCAAAATGCGCATTTGATTTTCAAACCCGGACAGGATCTTTGAAAAGGTNTAATAGTTCTTCTATATTTTAAGTTAATATTCATATGAACACAGTTGATATATGTATATATATACAATATTGTGAAGTATTTAACTCACCCCCTTCATTGCTGTTTCCTCCACCGAGCAACTCACGTAGCTGTGCCTGCTCCTTTTGCAAAATGCGCATTTGATTTTCAAACCCGGACAGGATCTTTGAAAAGGTATGAAGTTCATCCGATACTGATCGTTTAAAGTCGTTAATTTCCGTTTCGTTACACTCACACTGATGGTCAGGATCTGCGACTCTTTCGATCGCATCGACTTTCCTTTCCAATTGACATACTTTCTCGTTAAGATTGTAATAAGTCCCGTTTAAAAGATTGACAAGTGCACTGGTTAAACTTTGCTCCTCTACCTTCTCCACTGAATCATTGTCGTCTGAAAATACCTGACCATAATTCGATATCAATATCAAACTAGCGAAAACTAAACACCCCTTCATCGTTCCACAATTTCAGTCTTTGTATGGAATGACAAAATTATTTTGCCATATGGTTACATGTACAATTGAAAGCACAGTCACGTGATATGCCACAGATTTGACAGATGTTTCTCGCTCATACACACATTAGTGTGTACAAGGAGATCGCATATGTATAACAAACACTAGCCATGGCGGAATACTTTAACAGCAATTTGTGAAAAATCGTTTTTTATTTGGATGCGTCGTACGGCTATATTTGTAAAACATTCATAAACGCATGCATCATATATAAAGCTGAAAGTTTTACCTTTAAAACGTTACTTGATCAGTTAGTTAGAATAACATAATATTGAAATATAAACAGGCTTTATTTAATTCACAATCTGTTATAAATGTATCGGAAGTAAGCTGACATGTTAAAGCATAGTCATTTTTCTATAAAAACATTTAAGATAATATTATTGGATTCTGAACGGACATACAAAATATGTACCGTATGTGAATATTAGTTAAAAAGTGTTGTTAATTCAAATCCGTATGATCAGTTAATTCAATGTGGATATTTGAAAAACAATATATAAAATGAACTTTTAAAGAACGATGGAGAAAAAATAAATTGTATTCCAACATCTTACTTTCATTCTACTCACAGAAAAAGGATGATCAATTGGTAAACCTGATCAGGATCGGGCTTGCTGATTGTGTTTCGAAGAGATAGGACATGTATATCATTATTAGTAAACTTGAACTAATATGTAGATTAGGAACATATTCTTCACTGTCATTGTATGAATCGAATTATTGTAACAAAGATGAAATACAGAAATATTTATGATTTCCATGTTTTTGGTCCCTTAAATCACTAATGAGTCCTAGAAGAAAAAAATCAGATGTATGATGCAGCGTAATTCATTCCTTACATATTGTATCTACTTTCAAGTTTTTGAATGTGGAATCAGCCATATATGTGTTTGACGTACATTTTTTACAAAGTGGTAGACTGTATAGTTGGATTTCTTAAACCTTAAGGTTGGCCGTGAACCAAATATCAATTAAAATCACTTTTGAATAATGTCACGGTACATAATATACAAAATATCAGAGAGAGAGAGA